AAAAAAAAAGAACTTTCAAAACTTGCTCCAGGTGAATTCACTTTTAGATATGATAACCCTGTTGGGTGTATCAAATGGCATGATACTAAAGATGTGCATGTTTTGACAACAGCAGTCAATCCATCAGAAGTTTCTGTTATCAAAAGAAGACAGAAAAATGGCACACTGAAAGATATGTTTTGTCCTACTGCAATAGCTACATATACTTAGCATATGGGTGGAGTGGATAAACTGGATCACTTTAGAAGTTCTTATCCTATTGGCAGAAAATCCAGAAAAACATGGCTTCGTTTGTTTTGGTTTATATTTGAAACATCAATTATAAATGCTTATATACTATACTGCGAAGATAAGGATAGAAATAATATTCATAGTGATTTCAGACTTCGCTTGGCAAGAGCTCTCATAAATGGGTTGGTTGGTGGTGGTTACTATGTTTCCATGTTGCATTTTACAACAAATTATTTACAGATTGTATTTTGTATTTCAGATATACAGAAAGAAAACAAGCTGCTGTCAAGTTCATAAAAAAGAAAAATGGTCTGAGTGTTCCGGATGAAATCAGGCTATCCAGACTCGGTGAACACTATGGCAAAAAGGGCAGCTACAGGAGGTGCAGACACTGCAGTACTAGAGCCAAAGAAGTCAGAACCTATTTTGAGTGCAAAATATGTGAGGTGCCCTTATGCTTCGTTCCGGAACAATTCCATAAAATAAACTAATATAGAAGTAGCCTCTTTTTTATTTTACCTTGGATATACCACGTTTTTATGAAAGGTAATACAGGTTTTTATATAATTATATAAAATAATAGGTAAAAATAATGTTGTTCTAATCGGGCAATGGTAGAATAGCTCCCACATAGATTAAAATAAAAAAAAAAACAAAGTAACAAAATATTTATTTTTATTTAAAGAATTCTGGTAACATCACATTTAAGACTCACTGCATTTAAAACCTCTTAAGTAGACCAATTCACGGTGCCTGATTAAGGGTTAAATATCATAGTGTTAACACAAAGAAATTAAGGCAGTTTAGAGAATTAGGTAAACCTTGCGTGTGTAAGATGAAATGCTTTGACAAATTTACTCAAGCAGATCGTTTGGAGCTATTTCAACATTATTGGAATATAGAAGACCATGAAAAACAATGGCTTTACATACAGAAGTTGAACAGCCTAAAGTTACCAAAGTTCAAAGAAAGCGAGATAGGTCTCGCACATTAATTTACTATCTACCATTATGTAAAGATGTTACAAGTCACAAAACTTAGAGTAAGCAAAGTAATGTTTTTAAATACTTTGGGTATCAAAGAAAAAACTGTTTACTCTGCTATGAATAAATATACGAATAACTTGCAAATAACGGATTTACGGGGCAAACATGCTAACCGTCCCCACAAAACAAGTGATGAAACTGAGCAAAGTGTAATACATCACATAAAATCATTCCCATGTATCGAATCTCACTATTTAAGAAAGCAAACTATGTAGGTGTCAATATCTCGCCTCTGATTTAAACTTGTCTAAAATGCATCGATTATATGTAGTTTGGATGTCAGAAAATTTAAACACAGTAAAAGAAGCAAGTTTATACCAACATAGTAATATTTTTAATTCCCAATTTAATCTTTCATTTAAACCAAAGAAAGATATGTGTCAAATCTGTAGTCTTTATGAAAATGCTGATGTTGACCGTAAAATTGAACTAAAGGACAACTACGAAAGCCATTTAAAAAATAAAACCCTGATACGCAAAATTAAAGATAACGAAAAAGCTACATCAAATCCTGCCTGAGACTACGACTGTCGCTGTGTTTGACTTGGAAAAGATATTAAACTTGCCACAATTCAATGTGGGTATTTTTCATTATAAAAGGGAATATCCAGTCTATAACTTCACGGTATACAATTTATAATCCTTACAAGGATACTGCTATTTGTGGCACGCACAGATAGCTAGAAGAGGGGCTAACGAAATTGCAAGCTGTCTTCTTCAAAAAAGAAGCACTCAATGGTGTCAAATCAGTGTCTTTATATTCTGATAATTGTTCGGGCCAGAATAGAAATCGATTTATATTTGCTATGTACATGCACGCTTCCCGTACACTAAATTTGGATATAGTTCATAAATTTTTACAAACAGGTCATACCCAAAATGAAGGGGACTCTATCCCTTTAACGACGCTCTTATACGATCGTGCGTTCAACTTTACAAAAATATTTTCGCGCGCTCGATCAACTTTTAACGTTTAGTATAGTGTGAACTTTGCCGCAAAGGTTACACTTGCGAGAAGTTGTCGCGGATTTCTGCCCTTTTTAAAATGGCGGTGCAGCTGATCGACGCGCGTGGACAAAGTAAGCTGTTATTAAAAATATTTTAAATAATGATTGACTACATTGATTTTTTGCGATTTTAATAGGTAATTAAGTCAAGTCAATGAGACAACTGTAGTTCAATGCATACCTAGTGCGAGTCCGGCTTTAACTCGTCTATCAAAATTTATGTTGATTAAAATTAGATCAATGTTTTTAGTGTTTTTAATCGGCAAAAAGAAATACAAAACTCTCTTTTTTCTATTGCAGAAAGAACATCAACCTCGGAGTACTTATTAGAATTGATAGGAGACGGAAACGAGTCTGAGATAGAGGGTTTCGAAGACGAGGAATGTCTTGAAGAGGAAGGCATTGATTCTGTGCCAGATCGGGTGGCGGGTCAGTCGTATTCGGATGACGAAATTTCTAATAGCGAGCGAGAAGAAGAAGCCACTAATATTCAGGTACCAGAAATTATACGTCCTAGTTTGAATACAGTCTGTGTTGGATCTCAACGTGGTCGTGGGGATTCACAGAGAGGTGGAGGACCTTCGCAACGAAATCGTGGTGTCTGTCAACGTGGTCGTTCTGTAAGTCGCCGGCATCATCTACCTGATCGTTCACCAAGCGCACCAACCACATCTCATGGTAATTCTCGGCACCGCACGAGAGACCGCATGAGTAGAAATGATCAGCTGCTTAATTTATCAGGAACTTCGCCACCTCTACCTAGCGTTCGTGCTCAGTCCGAGGTAACTCAACGCAACAGGGATCCGTCTAGGCGAAGGCTATGGAAATCTATTCCATTTGACCAAAAAGAGCATAATTTTCCGCCACGGAACAACAAACTATTAGAAGGCCTCTCGAATACTTCGAGGACTATTTTGACGATGCATTTTATGAGAAAGCTGCTTACTGCACAAATAATTACTACTTGAGACAAACTGAAAGGGTTCTTCATACCAATCCTGTAGAAATGAAGAAGTTCATCGGTGTGCATTTTATAATGGGGTGCATAAGTTATCCACGACTTCATATGTACTGGAGGAAAGAAATGAGACTGGCATTAGTAGCTGATATAATTCCAAGAGACCGACTGAAGCTGTTGCGCACAAATTTTCATGTGGTTGAAGAGGATATCGCCCCAGTTGGTAATAAGAACAGTTTATGGAAAGTACAACCGGTTTTAAATCAGGTGAAAAGTGCCTGTGAGAAAATAGAAAGGCTACCGGGTTACTATTCAAACAAATGATCCCCTTCTGCGGCTTGTGACCAAAAGGTCTACGCCAAGTCATAAAGTCCAAACCTAGACCCACCGGATTGAAAGCTTTTGTAGCCACAACAAGCGATGGTCTAATGCTTGACTTTGAAGTCTATCAAGGAGCTAACACCCCATTCACAGACAAATCTCTGGGTGTGGGTGCAGCAGTTATTTTGCACCTTTCCAAATCCATTCCCCCCGGAAGTTGCATTTACTTCGATCGTTATTTCACGTCAATACCTCTCTGGGAAAGGTTATCTGAAAAAGGAATGCATGGCACAGGAACTGTTATGATGAATAGAATACCTGACGATAAACATATGACTTTCAAAAAGGACCGTGAAATGAACCGAGGAGATACTGAACAGTTCGTTAATAATGGTGTTGTAATTGTGCACTGGATGGACAACAAATCGGTTCTGGCGGCATCCAATTGCACTTCGGCAGACGATCATATTTTCGTGAAGCGATGGGATAAAAAGGAGAATGCGTACATCGATGTCAGGCAGCCCCTTATCATTGCCAATTATAATCGGAACATGGGAGGAGTTGACGTCCTCGACCAATCAATCGAGTATTATCGAACTTTTATGAAGACCAGAAAATGGACTTTAAAGATCATGTTACATTTTTTTGATCTTGCGGTCGCAAATGCTTGGCGTTTATACAAAATACACTGCTCACAGTACATAGAGGTCAAGTCTTAGACTTACTTCAATTCAATTTGCAAGTAACTGATGGTCTTACCAATACCCCTGATCGTCCCAGGCCAGAACAAGATCCTGTTGAAAACATGGAAGGTTTGGAGACTCAAGATCCGGAAAATGTCGATCCAAATATTCCTGCTAAGCGATACCGACCGGCTAATGTACCTTCAGAGGCGAAACGTCACGATGGTTATGAACATTACCCGGTATTTGACGAGATCGAAAACCCTCGATCCTGTAGAATGGAAGAGTGTACAAGTAGATCCAAGATAAGATGTGAAAAATGCAACATATATCTTTGCCTTAACAGAAAAGGCAACTGCTTCACATCCTTTCATGAGCAATAATTAGAGGCTAAGATTCCAATTTTTTTTTTCAGTGTTTGTACCAAAATGTTTAAGGAATGACTGATTTCAAGAAGTAGTTTAAACGTTGATTATTAATGTTCTATATACATAAATAAATAATTACGATGAATTATGCCTTTATTTTCATTATAAATCACAAAAATATACATGACAAAATTATACCCTAACAAAATTCTGATAGACAAGGTAAAGCCGACATCGCACTATCGTGACAAGGCGTTTTCTCAGGGGGGGAGGGGGAGCGATTTTTTAAATTATTTTTCTAGGATGATTTTAGACATGGGAACTTAGGATATAAAATCGAAAACGAGCTACGCAAGATTTTTTTTCCCGGCCTTAAAGGGATAAGTTGATTTTTAAGTAAGCTTGATTATTATGTATATAAGATTTATGATTTATTAATTAATAATTTAGTTATTCAGTTTGGATTAAAAAGTTTTATTCTTATTATTAGAAAATGACCATAGGTAAAGCACTTGCCCCTACATAAAAAAGTAAGTAAATAGATAAATAAATAGAACAGAACATATTATGCATGGAAGTGAACAAAACAGGTTACAAGATTTGGGCTAGAGCACACAGCTTTAGGATATTTCTATCAATTTGAATTCTTAGGATTTTGTGTTAAAGCCGCACTCCTACAGGTTAGTTCAGGCCCAAATGTTTTACAGTTTACAATTGACCCATTAATTTTGTTAAAACGCTCCATTCGAGAAATCAAACGATACAAATCCATTTGTAACATGAATATCAAACCACAAAGACGAACTTTATCAATATATTCAGTATCACACCTCTTCTTTGCATTTCAGCATTAAACTGTCAAACACCGCGAGGACACCGATGACAGTGAATTGTGACTATAATGATGGTACTCAACGAGTTAAGTATGTCAATTATTACATTGAAAGTCTCATACACTCAGTTTGGTGCACAGCCCAAGCCCTAAGCTGTGCACCATAATGAATCTAAATAACTCATGTTCTTAAAAGCTTACCCAGAAGACTTCAATGATACCTTCCTTGGCGAATTTTCAAAAATATGTTTGAATAAAATATGAATCTTCAAAAACAAAGTCACCCATTCCGATCTATATGAAATGATTATTAAAGACAAAATAAAGCGATTTCTCAAGTTTAGAATGTTTCACAGCTGAATGATTACTAACTGCTATGCTGAACAATCCTTCTCACACCTAAAGAGATCAAACAAACTGCAAAGAACAAAAATTCGTCACGACTAGCTTAATTAAACATTTATGTGTACTGAGGGAGACATACTTTGTGTGATAAATTTCGACAATGTAATCTCGGAGTTTGCTCTGAATGAAGCACGGAAAAAAATGTTTTGAATTTTAAATTATACCTACTACACTATTCTATTTTGATGAACTTTCATTTTGTACATGCTACTTTCCAAATTTAAGCAACACGGGGGCCTGCATAGGCTGTGATGAAAGCCTCAGAAACTGTTAATCCGCAGGCTTTGTGCTTAGGGCCTCGGAAACGGATAATCCGGTACCGGCTCTCGTAGACATTGGTATATTCCTTGGCCACCGGCCAGCGACCTAAGGAATCACTGACCCAATGCCTTGGTAACGTTACCATTGAAACGAAATGTAAAACATTTTAGACGCAACGACGTCGAACTTAAATCTTTAAACCACTGTCCCAATTTTGCAATAAACTTTTATATTTCACTCGATCACACATGACAAATTGACAAACAAAAAATAAATTATTTATATAGAGAAGAGAGTAGGTAGTACAGTAACTAGGATTAGGAAATTATAAATGAAGTTACTTATCACTTAAGTTTTTTTCTTTCAAATGACGTACAGTATGTACACCAAAAGGGGTTACCGTGGGACTCTTTGTAATGCATCCTCCTCATTGCATCTGAGACTATGGTTTTGGTTTGTCAGTGTCACCAACATTCTATAATAATTTTCAATACTTATCTATTATTTATTTATAATTAGCTCACCAACGGCACAATCCAAATAAGTCGTACATTTATTATTGACATTTTAGTAATTTTGTAGGTCAGTAAATGAAAAACCGGTATTAACTTACCTATGCCGGAGGACATCACTACATACGATGCTAGTTTTTGGAACATTTTTTGACATTTTGACTTTCAATATTGTCATACAGATACAGATGTCATGTCAAAATTTAATTTTTCCGTGAAGTTTGACTTGACGGTTAAAAGTTGTATCGTATCGTCACATTTTCATTATACATCTAATTAAAACTTTAAAACTAATTTAATAATTGCGAAAAAGGTATAGAAATGGAGGTTACCGATGAAAACTTGGCTACGTTGGCAAATTACCTTCAACAGACTTTAAACCCTGACACCAACGTACGACGACCGGGTTCGTATATTTTCTTTGTTTTTTCGCAAAATGTATTGTTCTGATAAGTGTATTTGGATAATATAGTACTATAACTTTGGAAATAATGATTTTTCGAACATAATTAGTGTTTAGTTGGACATTGGTTTGCCAAACAGTAATTATAACCTAAAACATTTGTATTAGTATTGTTATTTGAGCTGAATATAAACTGGCACATGCGTGCGTGCCATCACAACCGTTTTACTTAAGTTTGATAGATATTAATTGTACAGTCCACTGTAAAATAAATACTGGGAGTAATTCCGCAGTATCTTACTAGATTCTTAAAGAGATTGACCTCTGGAGTTTGTGATTCTTGTATGATTTTCGTAACTCATATTTTGTTGTTTATAATTTACGCTATGAAAATTATTTAATTTTCAGAATAGATCCTTGGTAAATAATGATGAGTCAATTCACTTCTATTACTTCACATTATTGATGTAGAATATGTGAATATGACTCATAATATGATTGTCTATATTTTTATTCAATAATTCTGATTGTGAAGCTAAGCTTTAGTAGAATTGATTAAAAAGAGTTACAATGGAGTTTCTTCGTCATTCTTCACTTCAGATAATAATAGATAATCAAATAACTTCACTAAACTTCACTGACTGATAAACTGACATTTTTATCTTATAATATGGAATATTTTTATACCAATTGTAAACGGAACACTTCCCAAACTGCAGACAACTATTTGACCGGTTTACGTGTTATTCATGCAACATAATTATAATACTAACTACTATGATATTAAAATTTTGGTATAAAACTCGTTACTTTTTTGATATTAAACCTCATTTTTTACCATCTGGACTTGTTTTTAGAAGCATTCTGTTTACATTGTATATTATATATTGTTTGCCTTCTATGGGTGTAATTGATATAAAATATTTGAATTACAGCTGAAAAGTTCCTTGAGAGCGTAGAAGTAAATCAGAATTATGCTATTCTGGTTTTGCACCTTATTGACAAAGAGACCGTGGACCTCACGATACGAGTAGCTGCGGCAATTGCCTTCAAGAACTTCATCAAACGGAATTGGCCTATTGTATGTATCTGACTATAACTATAAAAGTATCATAACGACTGTACCGCAGTGACTGGGTAACTGGACGCTGTGCATTATGTTGCGAGCTAGATCCCTGAATGGTACAGCACTTTTGCAGTTAGAATATTAATTAAACTGTCAAACACCACAA